TTCAAGTTCACTTCAGTGTTCCTGTCCTTGCCAGTTCCAGGGCGGCGGCTTCCCGCCGGCCCCCATTCATCGAACTTAACTAGTTGGATAACTTTTCAATACTATGATGTATTTTATTTCTATTTTTGTCTCTGACATTTCCCTCCAAGCAACCTTGTTTAATGTACATACTTCATACCTACTTGGATCGATGTACACAATCCAGGCTGCTTATGTTTCATTCTAGAAGCATTTGCCAACCTGCTGCTTCAAGTTAAGACCTGTCCCAGGTTCTCTGGTGTTGCAGAAGTCGGTCAGCCAAGATTTCTGAAATTTCCTTTCTGCCCCCAGGTACTGGGCTTCCCCACAAGAGCGCATCCCTAGTAGGTACTGCTGCTGCTGTGAGTTTAAAGTGCAGAAGTGTTTGACAGTCTCTTCTGTCCTAATTCCCACCAGTGCCCTCTACGTGCATTTGTCCTCCCACACCAGCCTCCTGCTGCTCATCGTGGAATCTGCCTAGGGGTGGGCAGTACTCTGTCTTTTCAATCTCTTCTAATTCGCCACTTAAAACTTCCTTGGAGAGGGCCTGGTTTTAAGTTTGTGTAGTTGCATGACTCAAAAGTAACAGAAATATGATTCTTTTCAAAACACTTCATAATTCAGCGTTTTGCTAATCGAGACAGACTCCTTCCCCCCCCCCCCCCGAATTCTGAATGAAGACGTTTTGCTGAATTTTAGGCGCCCAAAGCATGCGGTCCTTAGGGAATGTTCTGGAGGTTTACTGGACGGAAAGTTTGGCTTTTTTTTTTAAGTTTTGTCTTCAGTTTTTCATTTGGCTTAAAATTTGATACATTCTGACAGCCCCACATGAAAAAAAAAAAGATCTAAAAGTTTCTTCACCTTAACTCATCGAGAAGAACATTCCACTTTCAAGTTAGATTTTTTTAAAAAAAAAGAGCGAAATAAGAAGCAGTAATAGGAGAGGTCCTTAGCTTTGTTCAATTAATTCGTAACTGCTTTCTCCCTGCCTCCATTTTTTAGTTAGTACTGCTCACAAGAATTTTAACAAGGCTTCATTTTTAAAGGAATTCTCCAGCAGCTTAAAAGTTATGGGTAGCTTAAAAAGTTATACGCAAGGTGGATTTCCATAAAGCCATTGAAACTTAAGACTCAGGGCCTCTCACCTGCACAGCCCTTCCCAAGATCCACACCATCATGCCTAATCTTGCATTCATGGTTTATATTATTTTTCATAAGCAGGGTCTTCAAAAGCTTAGGCTCCACGAGATGGGTCTGCCCCTGCCTATGACCCTCTGTGCTGAGGACCACATCATCCCCAACACATATACTTCTCAACTCCAGCTTCCAACTCACCCGTGCTTTCTTTCCCCTTTATATGATGTCCCACAGGTGCTTCCTGAAACAGTCTGTTCCAACCGAGCTCAGTGAACTCTGTGTTGTTCCCGACCCCCTACTGGACGCCTGCCTCCCAAACCTACACTTCCTCCTCCTCCGGTCTTTCTTTGCTAATTCTCCCTGTTGTATACAGGACTCACTCTCCAAGCTAGAGAGAGATCCCAGTTCCTTCCTTTCCCTCAGTTCGTTTCTCCTACCTGGCTCCAAATTGTATAGGTTCCATCTCTGCATCCCATCCAGCCCCAGGCATTCCCATCTGCTTCCTCCAACAGACTCTTCCTACGTCTCCCCCATCAGCATCTCCCCTCTCCATTTGCCATTTTTTGCCAGAACGCTGCTTCAAAAATGTCACCTTTCTCTGCTGCTGTGTTGGTCTAAAGATGCCCTGTTGCCTTCAGGATAAATCCAAATTTTTTACCAGGATGGATGAGACCCTTCCTGATTGCTTGCTCCCCTTTGCTCTGGGTTTATCTCTCGATTCCCCAACTCAGAACCTGCCCTCTTTATATGACACCAACGAGTATACGGACATCTGCATGTGACCCCTCCTCCTCTGACCGCCACACATTCCTCTTTGCCCAGATAACTCTTTCAGGATTCAGCTTTGGGATTATCTTGTTCAGGAAAATTTTATAGATGAAGTCCTCCAGTACATGTGACCTTCCTTTGCACTTGCCAATACAAGTGTATTGCAATGGTCTGTTTTCTTGTCTGCCTCTTAAAGTAAAGAAACGATGGATTGTCTCCTACATCTTCAGTTCTTCCCTAGTACAGTGTCTGGTCCAAGTAGATGGTCACCAAAGAGCTGAGTGAGTAATATCTGAAGTGGTAGGGAAGGAAGTGATATGGTAGAGCCAATGGGTCTCCCTTTTCTAAACACATACCTCCCAACACACAGATTGTTAGAGCATAGATTAAATCACATCCTATGACCCACAGAGCAAAACCTGTTGTGGTTTGTACCATTATCTAAGCTCTAATCCCCACACACAATGAATTCAGCACTGGTCTGACCACAAGTTATCCAGCTGAACACTGGATACTTTTTAATCACCTGGTAGGAATCAGTGTTAAACTAAGCACTGCAGAGGTCATATAAGAAAGCTAATGGGGTGGGAGGAATAAATTGGGAGTTTGGGATTAGCAGATACAAACTGCTATACACAGAATAGACAGATAAACAACAAGGTCCTACTATACAGCACAGGGAACTATATTCAATAACTTGTAATAGCCTATAATGGAAAAGAATATGTATGTGAATGTATATGCTGTACACCAGAAACTAACACAACATTGTAAGTTGACTGTATTTCAATTTTTAAAAAAGAAAAAGAAAGATAATGGGCCAAGACCATTCCTGGAAACCAAAACTTTATAACCTACTTAAGGAAGTAGAGCCACAAGAGTTTAAGCGAAGGCAGTATGAAAGAGAATGGGACTAGAAGATACTGAAGATCCAGGAGAAAGGCGTTCTATCCAGGGCTATGACCACTCAAGGCTTTGAAGATGAGGATTTGTGTTGGCTCTTAAGGCATAAGGATATAGGGCTAAATCTTCAAAGATAACTATAATGGAGGAATAGAGGGAGAAATAAGGAAGTAAAGTTGGTGAGGCAGGAGAAGATTTGGGGAAAAAATTGTTTCTTAGGAGGTTAAAGAATTTCTAGAAAGAGTGGGTGTGGTAGATTTAAACAAAATCTTTGTCCTTTATTTCATCAAGACATTAAGTCAATCTCTACTCCCCTGGAATCTGGGCTGGCCTTGGGACTTGTACTGACAATAGAAAATGAAGGAAGTGATGTAATGTGACTTCCAGAAAGGAAACCGCATGGAGCCTTGCAGCTCCTGCCTCCACCGCCGCGGAAGGTGTCCCAAGTCTGACGGGCGAGGAAGCCATGTTAGCCTCCTGGCGGATGCGGCCACTGGAAGAGAACTGAAGCCAGCCCCCTCCCCGCCCCGGCACTGTGTCAGCACCTCCTGCCACCTTGTGAGTGAGGCTCTCTTGGACCCTCCAGGCCAACTGACCGTCCTGCAGCTGTTGTAACCGCATGAGTCAGCCCAGGTGACCTGAGCAAAGCCCCACCCAGCCAAACGAAAGAATCATGGAAAATCGTAAATGGCCTATTTTAAGCCACCACATCTGGGGAGAGTGTTTTATGCTCAGACAACTGACATGAAACAAGCTATAGGAAATGATGAGAAATGAAGAATGACCAATAGATCAAGTAACTGGAGTAATCAGTGTCCTGGCATCTCAGATCTGGGAAAGGCCTGAATCTGTCGGATATGTTTCCAGATTACAGGTCAGTGCACTGAGTTATCATGGTCTGAGGCTATTAGTTATTGAATCGTGTGTGTGTGCAATTAACTGTCTTTGTTCAGGTTCTGCCCCTCGTCAAGAAATCCAATTATTTGACTTCAGCTTACAGAGAGCCAGGCAATGCTCTGGTCAGGCCAAGGGGCTAGCCGGCCTTCCTGACAACTATCTTTCTCTTTGTAAATATCTAATTTTCATTTTCACTGAATATTTTGTAAAATGGCGCCTTCTCTGTATCAAAAATTAGCCCTATAGTTGACATTTACCTTGAATTAAAAGTTTTTCTGTCTACTGAAGTGAAATGCCTTTTAAAATGTAGACCATTTTAAAGTAAATAAAGTACAAAGTACAAAAATTCCACACTCCTACTTACTGTTTACCATAATAATAAAAAATTATTATTGTATAATAATAATACACCGAGATTAGCAGCTTGGTCTATTTGTACACATATACCAACCATCAGTTCACCTACCGGTTGATTCTTCCTTCAGATAAAAGCTGAAGAATCACTGTGTCCACAATTTCTGTAGCCATCATACATTTCTCTCTCGTGTATGGAAAGTATTTTTAGAAGAAAGTCACCAACTGTAAATATGTAGTTTCCTCCCATTATATTAAAACTGAAGAACAAGTAACCCTCTGTTTTCAAGTTGAGTGATTTCGTCCCAGGAGGAGTAACAAGTTCCCCTTCATTCCTGGCCCCTGTGGGTCGCCTCCTCCCCCGGGCCAGTCTCAGCAGTCAGAGCTGTGAGTTCTGCTACTAAAAGAAAAAAAGGAGCTCTCCCCAGCCCACTGCTAAGTTAAATTGTTTAAGCAATTTCTCCATGTGAAATTTATTTAACCAGGGTTCTAACTGCCTATTCATACAGGAAACTCTTTATCTTTCTTAATGTACTTTGTGCCATATTTGGAATAATTGTTGACATTTAAACCCAGGAGTTTTCCTGATAACCTTAGCCTTCATAAAGGTTTAGAGCTTAGAGACCTCCAAGTGTGACAGAGGTGGAAGGCTGAAGTCCACGGTCTTAGCAGAGGGCATGCATGACATTCCAGGACCTACCCGAAACCCCTCTTTGAAAGGTTCACTTGTTAGAAAGCACTGTTATTCTAATTCCCTCCCTGAGTCACTCAAATCAAACACATGGCAGAGAAACTGGAATTATGCCTTGAGATATGGTTCCCCACCAAAGGGAATATCCTAAAACAATTTCCAATGTTATTATTATTTCATGATTTCTTTGACCAAAGAGTGCTGTTCAGAGGGCAATGCGCATTATACTCACTCTTTTGCCAGCTCCATTGATATTTGTTCCAAAGAGCATCCCTTTGTCTCGGGTATGAACACAATAACGAAAACCAGGGATGCTAGACTCATGATTGTATACACAAAGCACACCCACGGCAGGCCAATGAGATCTAGAGAGGACAAAAGAAGTTGGTTAGAGATGTGTTTTGTGTTGCTCTGATCCCATTTGTGGACAGCCACTTCCTGGAGCACATAGGAAAATGTGTAGTTTCAAACATGCCAGTAATATCCCGGGAAACGGCAAGCGCAGATGAAAAATACAGCCAGCCTCTGAAAGGTTTATTTTCACGAACTATCTCAGCTTTCTCTGGTAGGTAAATGACAGTCTTGTAAGTATCGCAATTTAAATCCAATGCCATCTTCTTGGTGAACATGCTTTTCGTTTTCAAAATGGTAACAGATATGCTTGTTGTGAAAAAAAAGAACCTTAAACAACACAGAAACACATAAAGCAGAAGGCAAAATATCTCCTCTCTCCTCCCGCCTCCACAGGTCCTTCCTTGGGAATCACTGCTGTAGCAGTTTGGTTTCTATTTGGTAGACATTTTTAAATACGTATTTATACAGATGGACGCTTCTTGGCATGTGCTCCCCCTTCTTCACTCTGATTTGAGTAAATCATTTCATGTTGACAATATTTCATCATTTTGGTAGCTGGCAGTGTATTCATAATGCTGCTTCCTGGATTCAGAGCAAAAAAGTGATGATGGCTCGAAGGAAAGTCATTCTCTTTTAAAACGCATCTGCAAGAAGTAGCATTCTAACCTGCCAGCCTACTTTTCCCTCTAGATCGCTTTTAGCCAGAGGTGCAGCTCCTCTGTTGTTACTGACCAAGGTCAAGGGATGTTAACTGGTGAGAGGCAGCCCCCAATGCACCAGTCTGCCCCTCACAGTGTGTCACCCTGGGCTCAGAGGCAGAAAGTCCAGTGTGGCCAGGAACAGAGAGGAGGAGGCTGGCCTTTTCTGAACACAGGCTCAGACCAGCCACAGGATGAAACAGTGCAAATAGCCTTTAGCGGCCACAAATCACAACTGGTCACTCAGGATCACTGACCGAGCAGTTAGGCAGTAAGGCAGTTTGGTAAATGCAGTGCGGAAGGACCTATGTATATTAACCACTCCAGGTCAGTAGTTCTGAGACTGGGAGAAGCCAGGAGAAGAAACAGCACTGCAGTCCTTCTGGCAATTTTAATTAAAGCCCACTCCCTCTCTGCTTTTCTTGCTCCTGGCACAGGGTTTTGCCCAAGTCAATGCTTAATAAAGTGCTTGTAGAATTGGTCCTTCTTCTTCTCTAGGGCATAACACCAGAAAATAAAAAGCGAAAAAAACCCAGGTGGTCATCTGATCAAATTCATCCCCGGTACCGTTTGAGCCCTTC